GTGGCATACAAAGGCATTGATCTAGAAACCAGGAGGAATACTCCAATGCTAAGGGATGGAAACCATGGAAACGTACAGATTTGGTGAAATGTTATCTCTCGTTGGCAGAAAAGAGGAGAAAAATGAGAAAGGAGCCATGCTTTCCTTAAAGGTTACGTGTGAGTCAGGGAACGCTTTCAATGTTTAATTGTGTTACATTATCAAGTGAACGGCTCTCTGTAAGGTAATAGATATAGTTGAGAGTAAAATCATAGCATGGATTAGAAATAAAAAAGGGTTTTCAAATGGACTAATTTATTCTCTATAAATGCTATTTTTCTCTGTTAAATGTCTGAGGATTCAATAAAACAAAACATAGAAAGTGTTTAGCATGCAATGCTTGATAAGAAATGTACTCATTATCTTGCCCATGTAATTGTAACCCCTCTGTACAGTATGTTCACAAAAAATAAAAATAAAAATTAAAAAAAAATGATGTAAGTAATAAAAAATAAAAATAAGGAAATCTCAAAAAAAGAAAGTGTTTAGCATAGTGCTTAATCCCCAGTAAATATCCTATAAATATTAAGTCCTGTTAGTATTTTAGCCATTGAACCAATTAAAAAAAAAAACAAAAACGCTCACCAGTTACTTCTAGATACATAGAATTCTGATTGGATGACATTCTCAATTTATTCTAAGAAAACTATTCTTGGTAATCAAATAAAAAAAAAAAACCCAGGAAATGTTGGACCCCAAATAAAAATACCTGGATAGGAATTCTTGGCAATATTCTATTTTTTAACTTTTAATCAGGAGTAGTATTTGATATTTTTCAAACACTTAGCAAGTGTCAGGTGCTCTGGAAGTCATTTTATTCATGACAGTTCTGTGTATGAACTATAATTGCCCACCATTATGAGCAGGGAAACTGAAGTCAGCAAGGTGAAGAGAACACTGGTTGGCAGACAAGGGTCTAGATGGCAGAGGTCAGATCTTTGAAATTAGTGCACAAAATTATGGGCGTAGAAGGAATGAAAGCCTCATTTGTCCTTGCTATGGACTGTGTGCAGTAGCAAGGTTTCTATTCTGATGTTCCTGTCTAACTCTTATTCTAGAGGGGAGGAACTTGGCAGAATTAATAAAAAAGAAAGTCACAACTGAGCATGTGCCAAAGTCAAGAGCTAAATCACATTCTGGCTTTGGGTTCCTTTCTCTGCTTAGAGAATGAGGACGGCTCTGCTTAGTTCAGCTCCATCATTTGACTCTATCATGATTCAAAACAAACAGGAGACTGAAACGGAATTAGCTGCTAATGAAAGCTGCTTCAGCACTCTGGGTACTTGCTTAGGAGAAAGAGTGAATTTGAAAACACGCACCTGATTATTTAGCCAATTTAAAAAGATAAGAGAAGAAAACATCCAGTGATCAGGCAAAGCAGCTTTGGTAACGTGCTTTCTGTAAAGCCCAGCAGTTGTAGAAGCACAGATATTTTTCATCTTCCTATGTTGCTTTGGAACATTCTGTTCTTTGCACTTTTTTTTTCTTTTTTGTTAGTCATGGGGCTTGAACTCTATGCCTGGGTGCTGTCCTTCAGCTCTTCAGCTCAAAGCTAGTGCTCTACCACTTAAGCCACAGCACCACTTCTGGCTTTTTTTGTTTATGTGGTACTGAGGAATCAAACCCAGGGCCTCATGCATGCAAGGCAAGTGCTCTACCACTGAGCCACCTTCCCAGCCCTATCTTTGCACATTTTTTTCTTTTATTGTGAAAATACTGTAGAGAGGGGTTACAATCACATGAGCAAGGTAATGAGTACATTTCTTATCAACCATTGTTGCCTCCTCCTTTGTTTCCCCTTCTCATCCCTTCCCATCTCCTCCCCACCGCCCCCCACCCCGCCTCTCCAGCCCCCCAATCTTTGCACATTTTTTTCCTTGTCTCCCCATTCACAATACAGGCTAGGCCCAGGCCTGGGCTGAGGTGTATATGGGGTAGGTTTACTCTGCCTCCTCTTTCTATACAATCAGTGTAAGAACATAGCCTGTGGTAAGCACCCGGAGGCTTCTTTGCACATTTTTAACCAGATAAACATGCTTCCAACAGGCCACAAGGATGAACATTCTTTACTAGTTGTTTGCAAGTGCATCTCTTTAGGACCAATTCTTCCTCCTCTTCTTCCTCTGCTTCCTCCTCCTCCTCTTCCTCTTTCTCCTCCTTTTTCTTCCTTTTTTTTTTTTGAAAGTCCTGGAGTTTGAACCCAGGTTCTCACCCTTGCCAGAAAGATGCTCTACAACTGAGTCAGACCTCCAGCTCTAGGACTGTTTTAAACAAAGAAGTTTAAGCTGGGAGCTGGTGGCTCACGCCTGAAATCCTAACTGCTCAGGAGGCTAAGATCATGGGATAAAGCCAGCCTGGGGAAGAAAAGTCAAATGAACTTATTGCCAATTAATCAGCAAAAACTAGAAGTGGAGGCATGGCTCAAGTGATAGAGCACCAGCCTTGGGTGAAAAAGCAAGTTGAGAGTGCATTTCCCAGTACTGTGTGAATTCCAACACACACACACACACACACACACACACACACACACACACACACACACACACACACACACACACACACACACACACACTAAAACCCCAAACCAAAGCAATTACAGATACTTGTCCAAGTCAACTGTTTTACCATCTCTATAACATTTATATTTACTATATCTATAACTCTCATTTCATTTTCCAATTACAGAGCATTTAAACCTAGGTTGCTTTAGGCCCAAATGTACCCTTTATTGACTTTGTGACACGTCTCTCTGAGCTCATTTCTTCATTTATGAGTACAGACATTGATTCTTTCTTAAAATTTAGTTTTAGGACTGCTGGATTAAATGGCTCAATTCAAATGTAATTGTTTCCTATTTTTTACAAGACTCTTTAAAAAAATTAACCATTCTTTTTTATATTTGTGAGCTAAAATCATTTGGAGTCCTGATGGGTTAGTAACATCTTAAGGTCTAAAATTAATTTGTAGTAAAATGTCAGAAATTAGGTGTAAGCCGGGCATCAGTGGCTCACACCTGGAACCCTAGCTACTCAGGAGGTTGAGATCTGAGGATCAAAGTTGGAAGCCAACCTAGGCAGATAAATCCGAGAGATTCTGACCAGCAAAAAAGCCATAAGTGGAGCTATAGCTCACATGGTAGAGCACTAGCTTTAAGCAACAAAGCTAAAAGAACAGCTCTAAATTCAAACCCCAATATGGACCCACAAACAAACAAAGCTAGTGAATGAACAGATCTGTAATTGGCAATTTAATAAAGAAAACAGAATGACCCAGAAGAAGATTCCACATGGGGAAGGAAGTTATTTGGCGAAAGAACAAAGGAACAGAATAGCATTCAGAGACTTTCAAGAAATCATGGCTTTTGAGACCATGGAGTCTGCTGGTGACTTGTTTTTCAGATAGCTTAGGGCAGTCCAGTGAGGTCTTCGCTGATCTGCCTTTTCCTACTTTAAACCTTTCAGCCAAAAGTGAAGGTAATACTACCTCTGAGGGCCAGAAAGATGAAAGGAGACTATGATGTGAAATACTCCCCGTATATCAGACCTCATTCAATATTTCATCTTCCTTCTCCATTTTGATTTTTGGTCAGGTAGGTACTCTAAGTAGACAGGCCATTCTCAATCTTTCTAGAAAGCTTTGTGCTTCTGGGAGCATTCAATAGTTAAAGATAAGAAGTTAGGGTCCTAGTATTTTGTGGATTAATCAGAATATCTCCCTAACCTATTAGCACAGTCTGAGCAGATGTGTCCACTTCAATTACCAACAGGTGCAGAGAAAGTTGTAGGGGTTCAGTATGCAGAAAGACTCCTAAGAGGGGTTCTGAGGAGAAGCAAGGAGAAGGCTGAGCAGCAGCACGGGTTTAACAGGGATGAATTTTAGTTCCCACTCAGAAACAAGGGTTCTGTGTGGAAGAATGAAGAAAGCAGTCATTAGCGTAAGCCAGACTTTTGGTAAGAGGTCTTAGCTAAGGGTTGACTTTCTTTTTCTTTTTCTTTTCTTTTGTTTTTTGTTGGTCGTGGGGCTTGAACTCTGGGTTTGGGCACTGTTCTTGTGCTCTTCAGCTCAAGGCGAGCGCTCTACTGCTTGAGCCACAGAGCCACTTCTGGTTTTCTAGTGGTTTATTGGAGATGAGTCTCAGGGACTTTCCTGCCTGGGCTGGCTTTGAACTACGATCCTCAGATCTCAGCCTCCTGAGTAGCTAGGATTACAGGCATAAGGCACCAGCACCCAGCTAAGGGTTGACTTTCAAAGTATCAAGTTTTCCAAATTCTACTTTGACAAATTGCTTATTACCTATGGTTTGAAAGCACTTCATATCTTTGAACAAACAACTGAGGATTTTTTTTCCTTCTGGCCTTAGGGCTTGAACTTGGGGCCTAGGCTCTGTCTTTGAACTTCTTTGTTCAAGGCTAGCATTCTATCAACTGAGCTTTTTATGATGGTTAATTAGAGATAACAGTCTCATGGGCTCTCTTACTTGGGCTGGCTTCAAATCACAATCCTCAGATCTCAGCCTCCTAAATAGCTAGGATTACAGGTGTGAGCCACTGGTATCCAGTGTTTCCTTCTTATTAAATTTCAATAATTTTCATTGGTCAGTTTTAATTCCTGCATATAAAGTAGATTGACTGAGGATGACCTTGGGCATCCTGTCCATTAGCCCTCCCTAATTCTCCAGGTAGCATGCCCATTTAAAATATTCTCAACAACACTAAAAGATAAGTATGTAGGGGAATAGACAGAGTTGTATGCAGTTGACAGAGCAATCTGGTGTTGTTATGCTCAGGTGATGTATGCAGCACATTGCTATTATTGTCTCCTGGTGTTTCCCTAAGCCCATTTTAGAAATCCCAACGGAAGTGGTGATTGTGCCTCTGAAAATAAGAATGACTTTTCTACATACAACGTAAGACAAAGCCAAAATAAAGGGAATTGTGGGGGTATCTCAGTGGGGGCCTTACCTGAGGATGCTTTGTTCTAGAACCTGGATCTGGTGCTGGTCTTGCTGGTTTTGCTTCTTCATCTCGTCCTGCTCCCGTCCACTGCTGATTCCATCCAGAAGCCATTTCTCCCGTAAGGCCTTTTTCTGCCATCAGAAATAAGAGTGGATGTTCGGCTAGCAGTCAGCAATTTTCAGTACCTCTTCCTACTTTCAAATCTTATAAATTACACTGGTGGGCACAGTCAAAAGGATTTTTTTTTTCTCACTTGCTGCCTGAATAAATTTCGACTTTTCCTCCTCTGTAACCTAGTTGATTGCTTTCCAAAGTCAGGTTTTGGGTATCTAAAACCCCTTTTTCAGCTGGGTGCAGGTGGCTATGCCTGTAATCCTAGCAATTCAAGAGTCTGAGATCTGAGGATCTCAGTTTGAATCCAATGCAGGCAAGACAAATCTAACTGTGATGTGTTTAATGTTATATCTTTGGTTGCTGGGTATAGATCTGGTGTCCTTTACAAAGTTACAAGCTCCTGGAAGCCATTTTGGGGGTCCTCTCATGACATCATACAATGACTACTCCCTCCAAAACTTATTTGGGAATCATTGGAACCAGTAAAACAGAGAGTTACTACTGTATTGCAAACGAATTCAGGGGTAGCCTTTGGCTCTGTAGTAGATAATTACTGTTTTCCCTACCCCATAGCATTTCTTCTGAAAATTTCTCTGGTTTTAGACTTCCATAATTCCCATCACCTACCTATTCCAATGATATGATGCACAAGGTTTACTGCTCAAAATATTGATGAACTGAATTTCAGTTAACTTTAGCAAGACAAAAAGGCTTATTTTTGTAATATGGAAAGCAATATCTTCATGAGTATACATGGAAGAATGAAGTGGTTGCAACGAAATGGAGAAGACTTGAAACAATAAAACAGACCTGTAATTTTGCAGGGAATTAGCTTGCCTCTAATCTCTCTCACGTGGAAAGTGGGTGTACAGTTGCATTATTTTTAAGGAATTTGAGTTTCTTCCATTCTTCTGGAAGCAAGGGGCAGTTATGTAGATTTACTGAACCTCTCTGTACATTATTTTCTCAGTTACTCATGGTTAATTATTCCTTGGGGATTCATTATGACTGCAGTGGTCAGGAGAAAATGGCAACTTTCATTTTCTGGGCCATTTTTCCCTCTTAGATCACAATTCAAATGAGAGCAAGTAAGAAGAATTTTCTCTGTGATTTTTTTTTAAGGATGGTAAAATTAATTCCACTGGGATATTTTTAGTTCTGAACAAAAAGAATTAAACGTGGTTATGCTAGATAATTATCAAAAGATAGTTATTTTTTCGAAGGCCATAGATTTCAGCCTTTTTTTTTTTTTTTAAAGAAAATTACCCACTTCACCAATTACAAATAAATATCATGGAACATTCTGGAGACAGACAAAATTCAGACTGCTTGCCAGGTATTGGTGACTCATGCCTGTGTTCCTAGCTACTCAGGAGGCTGAGATCTGAGGATCATGGTTCGAAGCCAATTTGGACAGGAAAGTCCATGAGACTCTTATTTCCAATTAACAACTTTAAAAAAAGGTCGGAAGTGGAGCTGTGGCTCAAGTGGTAGAGTACCAGCTTTCAGCAAAAAAGTTAAGGGACACCAGGCTCTGAGTTCAAGCCCCAGGAATGGCGCACGTGTGTACATGTGAGCACACATGCACACGTGTGCCCCCCCCCACAAAACATGTGAAAGGCTAGTTTCAGTTAGTTGCTTATCAGAAACACTGAGTTATAGGAACAGAAAATGATTCTTGATTAGGTTAACTTTGGGCTACATTCTAGGTCCTAAGTCTGGTCTTATAAAACGTCCCATACTTCACAAATTATCATTTACCTATGGTAAAAAAACTCTGAAGTTATAAAACATAGGATTGGGATGTGCAATCAGAATAATCTGGTGCAGTCACAAACTGTGGTGACCAAAACACAGTCAGTATGCTTTTACAAAAAATACAGTTAATTTGCTTTCGCGTCACAGACTTGTGCTTTAGAATATAAAGCTAATGAACATAAGAACATCTATTTCATGGCAATGAAATCACAATCCTAACCTATTTGGCATCAGGGACATAACTCAATGGTGGACTGCTAGCTAGCTTTGCATGTGCAAGACCTTGGGTTTGATTCTAGCACTGCAAAGGGAAAAGAAAATAAAAATTAAAAGCCTTAAGAACTAAAAGAAAAAAAAAAGAACTAAAAGAAGCTGGGAGCCAGTGACTTTTGCCTGTAATCCTAGCTACTAAGGAGACTGAGAACTGAGGATTGCAGTTTGAGGCCAGCATAAGTACACAAATCCTCGAGACTCTTATCTCCAATTTATAAGTAAAAAGCTCCAAGTGGTGGTATGTGGGTCAAGTGGTAGAGTGCTAGCAAATGAGCAAAAAAGTTAAACAAGAGTGTGAGCCCTGAGTTCACCAGAAAAAGACCAGAAGTGGAGCTGTGGTTCAAGTGGTAGATTGCCAGTCTTAACAGGAAAAAAGAAACAAGTCAAGTGAGAACAACAGGACCTGATTTCAAGCCCCATTACTGACACAAAACAACAACAACAACTGTAACAACAAAACCCAGAAGGGTATTTTGGAAGTGCTTTTACATTCTAGACAGCATTTTCAGTTGACTTTTGGAATAAAATGTACTTTCCTACTAGGAACTGAAAAGCTTTCTCGATTGAGTGTATTTTGTGTTTCCTGGCAGCACCATCTGGGTTGAGGTGTGATTACGAGGCAAGAAGATTCCCAGTGTACACACCTGTGTGGTTTGAATGTCAGCATGTTAATAACACCCTTGGAAATTCCCTCCCGTGTGCGTCATGGGGATAATTGTGACATTCAGGAGCTAAAGAGCAGAGTGAGTCACTGCAACATCTGGAAACATGTGTCTGTCCCATTCCTGGTGGAAACACTTGCTGGACACTTCTGCTTACGCTGTTCAGCGTGGGCACTGAAGTGTAATTCTAGTTGGCTGTCAAGGAAGCGGTGAGAGTCCTGGGAACCAGGGCCAGGGTATGAAGAAAATAAGGCAGAGATGATCATCTGTTGAGGCCCAAAAGGAACTTTCTCGACTTGGAGAATTGTATTGTAGAGTGGATTTTTGAAAATAACGTCTTCCCATTCTGGACCCCCTGTTTTGGACTTGCCAAGGTTTTCTGCACACTTGGATCTCTCTGGAAATAGCCACTCCCCTCTCTCTGCTCTGGTTGGAACAAATGTCATTATGAGTGCATGGAACAGAACCTCTCCTAGCTACACCTCTCTTGCGTTGGAAGCTGTTCCATTCTCCCTTTCTATTTTGCTCTCCTTTCCCTACTAAATCCTTACTAAACTCCTAAAAAAATATGAGTTTATGGGCTAATTATCACTTTAAGAAATAGATCAAATTTTGTTTCTTTTGTAGTCTCAATGCCCAGTTTTAATACCTTGTACATAATAGGTGCTTCATACATGCTTATTCCTCTGGATACCGGTCGCTTGTGCCTGCAATCCTAGCTACTCAGGAAGCTGAGATCTGAGGATCAAGGTTCAAAGCCAGCCTGGGCAGGAAAGGCCCAGACTCTTATCTCCAAATTACCATCAGAAAACCAGAAGTGGAGCTGGGCTCAAAGTGTTAGAGTGCTAGCCTAAGTTCAAAACCCACAATGCACCAAAAAAAAAAAAAAAGCATATTTTCCCCAAAGCCCCGTGTCTATCCATATAAATTCTCCTTATTAACAAAGACTCAGCTTGGATCCTGTATCTTTAATGGAATCTTTTCTGGCCAACCTCCAATTAGAGAACACATGTTCCTACTATCCTTTAAATATAACACTTGTCTTATTTACTTTCTCTCTAGGTATAATTTCCTCTTCTCCACATCCACACCCCTTTTGTTCAGTGAACACCTTGGGAAAATGGAGAGCTCCTTTGTAGAGAAAACTATGAAAAACCTTTGATTCAGGTTCAAGCAATCTTGGGCCAGGCTGCATGGTTGGCGGGAGATTATGGGCAGGATTTCAGCACCTCCATTTGTACTTTGTACAGCACACATTCTGTACAACTGTGTATAGTAAGTAGTCCAAAGAATGATGAATGTTTTGATTGGATTGGATCTGAAGAAGCCTCCTGATTGATTCCAGGAAGCAAATCAATAGAGATGATTGTGTATTACTTTCTGGACTTTTTTTTTTTGGCACATACTGAAATGAAGGGCTACCTTGGTGGACCTCTCCATGACTCAGGCATTTCCTGTGTGACCTTTAGTTCCTAAAATGAGCTGAGGAGACATTTAAACCCTTTCTTCTTCTGTGATCTCTGCAGGTATAATCTTTCCATTCTGCAAGGATAGCAGTCGTTGGCTGCTAGAGAGTGATCAGTTTACTTAGAAACAAGAAACTGTAGGGTGTGTGTGTGTGTGCATGTGTGTGTGTGTGTGTGTGTGTGTGTGTGTGTGTGTGTGTGTAGAGACAGAGAGAGACAGAGAGAGAGGAGAGGAGAATATTTTGGTCTTGGGATCAGAAATGATCTATCTCCAATATTGTTCTAGATGTGACTCATTTCATTTGAATGATACTGAAATAGCTTGATAAATTTAAAAAAAATGTTTTTATTGTAAAAATAGTGTACAGAGGGGTTACAGTTACATGAGTAAGGTAATGAGTGCATTTCCTATCGATCATTGTTACCTCCTCCTTTATCCCCTACCATCCCTTCCCTCCCCACCTCCCCAACTCCTCTTGGTAAATTTTGCTTCTGCTTTTTTGGTTTTCTGAGAGCACATGAGCGTATCTACTGCTCATGTGAATTCTATGTGACATTTTGTAAGGACAGCAGGTTAACTGATTTACAACTATCCATCAAACAACAGAAATGTCAACTTGTACAGAATCAAGAAGTTAACAGAATCCAGACAATGGAGGCTAACTGAACTCTCAAATGATTTTTCTCTCCAGAAGTGATTTACTTGTTCCATAGGGAAAAAATAAATGGCTCGAACTGAATTTGGCAAGTTTGACTGAAGAATAGGATCCCATTGTTTCATTGAGGGGAATTTATGAAATCTATTGGTAGCTCTGCCAGATAAGTACAGTTTCCTGCTTGGGCCTGTTCATCAGCAGCTCCTGTTGGTCATTTGCTTATATCCTGTGACTAAGCCACATAATAAAATGTTGAAATTCAATGAGCTTTAATTACAAAATGACCACACCCAGCGAAAGATGTCAAGTCTGATTTTAAAAATGGAGATGTATTTATGGCTATGATCTCATGCTAAAGCAAAACAAAATAAAACAGAAACTCGAACCAGGCCCAAACAACGTGGGTTCACTGAGCTTTTAAACACAAGCATCCTTGATCAGCTAGATTCTGTCTGCTCCGTTCCCCTTGGGGAATGGCTGGCCTTTCATTCATTTCAAAAGAAACTTCCTAGCTGGATCCACTTCCTTAGGGATGTGAAGCAAAATTGTACTGGGGCCAGATTCACAAGGTTCAATTCTCAAGGTTGCCGAAGCAAATGATATGAGGTTTAGAACCAAAGGATCAAAGTAATAAAGCCACATTTTCTCCTTTCCCCATGTTTGCCAGAAGGCATTAATCTCATATGCAAATATTGCTCGCTTCTTGGATTCTCTCTGGTGGTTAATATGTTGGTAGAACTATGATGGCAATTTTCTCCTTCCTAAAGCTTCTTTCCTATTAAAAGCTGAGCACCAGTGGGATATTTGAATATCAGCATCAAGGAAATAAAATTGAAGTATCCCTCAGTTACCTTCAGGTGCTGATGTTTTAGTTTTTCTTCTTCTATTTTCAACCGCTTTTGTGAGATTTCTTCCTGTATTTTTCTTTTATCCTGAAATAAAGAAACGTTTCAGTATCAATAATTAAAAATAATTTTTTTGCTTAAGTACATTGTATGTTATTTTTTTTTTGGGGGGGGAGCATTTCATTATCAGAGTGATCCAGTACCATAGGCACTTGTATTAGTATAAAGATGCTCTGGAAACTCATATTGCAAAATAAAACAAAGGGGGCAATAATAAGAAGATTTTGCTCATGAAAATAATATGAACAAGTCTATTTTTTTTTGGTGGTCTTGGGGACTGAACTCAGTATCTCCTGCTTGCTAAACAGTTGCTCTACCCCTTGGCCACATCCCCAAACCCTGGAAAGGTATTTTATGAAACAGAAGAATGCCTTTTCTCACCTACTCCACTTTTCTTCATTAATTCTGCAATACCAACCTACTGAGCAATGCAGCGCAAAGAGCTTTATTTCTTTATTTTAATAATTTTTAATGGTTATTTCCCCCTTTATTTTGTCCATTTTATCTTTATGTGGTACTGAGGAATTGAACCCAGGGCCTCATGCATGCTAGGCAAGCACTTCACACTAAACCACATTCCCTGTCCCAGAAAGAGTATATTTTTTAAAATTTATTTTTAATTTTAATTTTATTTTGGGTCCGGTTGTGGGGCCTGAACTCTGGGCCTGGGCACTGTCCCTCAGCTCTTCAGCTCAAGGCTAGTACTCCACCACTTGAGCCACAGTGCCACTTCCGGCTTTTTTCTTTTTGCTTATGTGGTGCTGAGGAATCGAACCCAGGGGCTCAGGCATGCAAGGCAAGCGTTCTACCACTGAGCCACCTTCCCAGCCCCAGAAAGAATGGATTATAAGGAAGGAGTTAGACACAGGGCTGAGGAGGAAGCTGTTCCTGACACAGGTTGTGAAGAGGCTGCTGGTGCAAGCAGCACATATGGAAAAACAGGATCACCTGTGGATCCTTGGAAAACCAGGCAGGTGGAAAGGGAGACTGCTTCCTCTCCTATCACTTAGGCACCATAGGAGAATAGTTGAGATAATGTTGCTGAGCCATAGGCCAAGGTTTAACAGAAAACCACGGAGGCTGAGTGCTGGTGGCTCATGGCTATAATCCTAGCTGCTCAAGAAGCTGAGATCTGAGAATCACAATTCAAAGCCAGCCTGAGCAGGTAAATCTGAGAGACTTTTATATTTGATTAACCAGCAAAAAGCTGGAAGTAGAGGTATGCCTCAAGTAGTACAGCATCCAGTCGAAGAAAAAAGGCAAGTAAAACTGAAAGGCCCTCCTGAATTCAAGCCCCAGGATTGGCTCCCCCCCAAAAATATCATAGAGAGAGAATATTTCTCTCCCATTTAAATCAGCTCCCCCAACCACAACAACAATAACAGTAATACCCGTACACCACAACAGAAAGCATAACCATTCAATACTCAGAGATTCTACTTTCTGGAAAAACAAATAGTATCTGTGCTGGATCAGCAAAACAGGCAGTCTGGACTTGATTTCTGATCTTCCATTTACTAACTGTGTGTCCTTACACAAAGCCTTTTACTTCTCATCTATTGGTTTCCTAACAGGATCTGTGCCATAAGATATGAGCATCAGATGAACAAATTTCTGTGCTCATGGAGAGCACCCAGTGCTCTAAGTATTAGCTTAATAAAATTCAGTGACTAAGCAGAGAACTTGTTACTCACCCAGAAAAGACACACAGAAGTGTTCTCATTGGTTTGAAGTATCTTAGACATTGCCTGTCTGAAAGTGGGACATTATTTCACTAGCCATATAAAAGTCTTTATTTTATCATTAAAAATCAGAATATCACATTATCCTTTATCTTATTCCTGAGAGTTAGTTTTAAACCCACTTCAAAATGGAAAACTCTCAAAAGATGGAATTTTGTTGCCAAGAGACATCTAAGAGAATTTGAAACAGACTCAGAAGGTAATTTAGAAGGAAGAGTTTCAAAAATATTTGGCTGGCAGTATTATTGAAACAAGTGCGTAGCTCCCTGATGTGAGTCCTTTGAAGACTCAGAACTCTTTTTATTTTGTTTTGATGTGTTGGTTCAGGTACATTTGTTGAAGAAAAACAATCTATTGTTCTCCAACTCTATGTCATGTTTCTTCTTGTATACAGGAAGAATACATGACTTTATCAGCCCAACTTCAAATTTTAGAAGCAGTTCTTTTGGAAAAAGATGAAACAAAAACAAAGAAACTTAAGCAACAAGTGTGGGTCTTTAGAATTGCTTCTTTGTTTTGGATGAATCTGGTGATTATTCACAAAAATTGTCTTCTTAGCTTTCTGAGATCAAAGCTGTAACTATACCACTTGAACCACACCTCCACTTCTGGCTTTTTGCTGGTTAGTTGGAGATAAGAATCTCTCAGATTTGTCAGCCAACACTGACTTTGAACCACAGTCCTCAGATTTCAGCTTCTTCTTCATTTTTTTTTTTTGGCCAGTCTTGGGGCTTGAACTCGGCCCGGGCACTGTCCCTGAGCTTCTTTTGCTCAAGATTAGCACTCTACCACTTGAGCCACAGCACCACTTCCAGCTTTTTCTGTTTATGTGGTACTGAGGAATCGAACCCAGGGCTTTATGCATGCAAGGCAAGCACCCTACCACTAAGCTACAGTCCCAGCCCGATCTCAGCTTCTTGAGTAGCTAAGATTGCTGGTGTGAGCCACTGGGTGCTCAACTCTGAAAATGTATTGAGCCCACTCTCCACTGCTCCTGAGCAAGTCTTAGTAATATTTAAAATACCAGTTACTGTGCAGTAAGTTCTTTACAGGCACTATTTCTCGTGCTATAGTTACCATGGCAAGGAGGTACTATATTAATTTTCCTTTTACAAAAAAAAAGAAAATGGAAGTTTAGGAGAGATGAACTCATGCAAGTTCTCCTAACTAATAATTGGCAGAGGCAGGATTCGAACCCAGGCAAGTGGAGATCAGCTTGGGATGTGAGTGAAAGGAATGACTACCACCACCCTCATTGGAGCACTGAGGCCAGAAGCAGCTCCAGAACAGGTAGCGAGGAGGGAGACTCCTCAGAGCATGCAGCGGATAGAGACTGCTGAGCCCAGCCCCACCCTTGTGAGTTGCCAGTTTGGGCTGATTTCAACTTGGGGTTAGTAATCAGGTAGTGGGAGCTGTGGGGAGAGGCAGGGCCTCTGGAGTGTTTTGGCAACAACAGGCTTAGACAAGCAAGGGTTGCTAAGAAATACCAATGTTTTGTCACTTAGAGGTAATTTGATGCCTCTCTCAAAGGTAGGTGGGCTGGTAATTTTAAAATGTTATAGACACCATCCTATTTTAAAGGGAGAGTACTTTTTCTTTATAGTGTATTCATTAGCAGCAAACTATTATCTCTTGGCTAAGCTTGATAGGAATATATAATCATTACTGAAAAAAAATAATACTAGAATAATATAATTTCAACATGGCTGAATAAACTGTAAGTCAACCTTAAGTCAGATCACCAGTTCTATCTAATGCCAGTGTACCAGAAGTTATCAAAGTCAGCCAAATTCTCCACAGATTAGCAGGAAAGTCCATCTGCTTTACACATTTTCTTCTGATCCTGGAGCTACCCTATAGATTGCTCCTGCGGACTGGCCCACCTGGCATTTACTAAGGTCATAAAAACTTATACTTTATCGAGTAATAACATACATTATTTAATAATGGAATGGCAAATTATTATTATTATTTTTGGAATGGCAAATTATATTGTTGTTTACTTTTTCATTGTGTTTAGTCACTTGGACCATTTTGTCCAATAAGCACATATCTATATTACCTATATTTTTTCCTCTCTGGCTACTCATTTTAGCAGCTGATACCTACAAATTCCAATTCTGCAGAAAAGTTCTTCTGATTTTAAAACTTAATGTATTCATCACAAGCAATTGCAAAGTCATTATGACCATCTATGATCCAAAGATATCACTACATATTTTGTAAAAGAAAGCACAATACCTAAGCATATGTTTTGAAGATACTGAGTTGTAGTTGACTGATAATAAAGGAGACAGGTTTCTCTTAAGAAGGTAAGATTTGTCCTGGGTTATTTAGTTATTAATTCATCCAACATGAAGGCACTTCGATTCAAATCCCATATTGAATGTGACGGGAGGAGTCTTACAGTATTTAAAAACTATTCAGAAGTAGAAGGATCATGTTCAAAGCAGACCTGGGCAGGGAAATTGTGAGACTCTTATCTCCACTAAACTAAAAAAAAAAAAAAAAAAGAGCTAAAGTGGACTTGTGGCTCAAATGGTAGAGCACTATCCTTGAGCAAAAAGGTCAGAGACAAGGCCTGGGCCCTGAGTTCAAGCCCCAGGACTGGCAAAAAACAAGAAGGAGGAGGAGGAGGAGCAGGAGGAAGAGGAGGGGGAAGAAGGGAGAGGAGGAGGAAGAAGAGGAGAAAGAGGAGGAGTAGGAAGGGAGAGGAGGAGGAGGAGGAGGGGAGAGGAGGAGGAAGAGGAGAAGAAGAGGGGAGAGGAAGAGGAGAAGAAGAGGGGAGAGGAAGAGGAGAAGAGGGGAGAGGAGGAGGAGAAGAAGAAGAGGGGAGAGGAGGAGGAGGAGGAGGCTGAGGAGGAGGAGGCTGAGGAGGAGGAGGAGGCTGAGGAGGAGGAAATGTAAGGCCTTTGCATTTGTACTAGTACCTCCTTTGAGGGGAGGGAGAGGGAGAGATTGTCAAACCTGTTTAGGAGGTGCTTCTGCAGAGATCAGAGGGGTGCTGGGTGATTGCTGGAACCTGGGTCATGGGGAGAAAGGACACCTAAGTCCACGGCTCCCTGTGGGAAAAGGCCCAGATAGAATATTGGACATTATTTGGAACAGGTCCAGACTCTAAACTGCCATACAAGAAATAGCAGGAAATTAAGAATGGCTGGATGAGTATAGATTCTCAATAGAGAATCTGGAATGGTGTGAGTAGGGATTTGGATTTGTTTCTGTATTGAGATAAAAAGCAGGGAATGGTTTTGCTAGGAGAAAAGATAGCGCTAGCGGTTTGGC